AGCCACTTGTCTCTGTTGTTGCTATAGCAAACTTTTGCAACACCAAAATGTTCCTTTTGCAAAACAGTCCTTTTTCCTTGCACAAATGTCTTTTTCTGCCAATTGTTCCCCTGCAAACAGTTCCTTTGCAGATGGTTGTTTGCTCCACAAATGTAGCAAGTCTTTTCCCGCCAAGCAGCTCTCTGCTTGCAAAATCTCTCCTTTGTTGCAATTTGGTCTGGGTCCGATCTGCTTGTTTCTTCTTCTCTGGAGACTTGCAGTCTGGACCCCCTCCTCAGGAATTTCACCTCCTCATGGCTGCTTCTAAAATGGCATTTTTCTTCTTCATTAAGCAAACATGCCTTTAAAGCCTCAAAATTTAAGTCTTGCTCTTCTTTGCATTCAAATATTGCAGAAACTGTGTCCCAGGTTTTATCTAACTGTTCAACACCAATAAAACCTTCTGGGACTCAGGGAATTTAATCCCACGTTGTTCTAAGTCCAAAAATAAACTTTGTATTTTATTTAAATGCTGTTCCACAGATTCATCTGGTTGCAAACAGGCCCTGTAAAGTTTTCTTGACAATTGCACTATATTGCATGCAGAAACATTCAGGTGCACAGCTCTCAACTTCAACCAAATCTCCTTTGCAGTCTTTAAATTTGCAAGATTTAGAAATTGTGCATCATCGAAATTCAAGATGAGATAAGCCATTGCTTGATCATGGCTTTTCTGATCTGCAGCTGCAAATACTTGTGATGGATTTTTAACAATATACCACAGCTCTTTTGCTTTCAGCAAACATTCCATTTTTGCAGCCCACACAATGTAATTCTTCTGGCTCAAACGAGGCACACAGCTTTCCTTAAATTCCATTGCAGCCATTCTGCTAATTCTGCCTTGTTCTTATACTTTCTAAACACAGGCAATTTCTTCCAGCTTTAAATTACAATGCAGTCCTTAGTAAGCTCTGGGCCCATAACCTATTAGAGAATTTTAATTTCTCTATTGGTGAAAAAATAAATCAGAAGCACTCACAGTTGACTGCATTTAGCTGATTCAAATAACTTTATATTTATATAAAAATATTTACAGTACCATTCTTCTTTACAGCAATATAGCTTAATGAAGACTTCTTACAGAGACAGACCAGAGACAAAAACTTTGAGACTGGAAATCCAGCTCCTAACTCAATACTCTTTTGCACAGACTCAGTAGCACTTTCTTCATATTGGATGACTGAGTTACCACATGACTCTTCCTGTTCATGAATATTCCAACAAATTCTTTCCAAATCAGACAATGTGATTGTCTGGATTTGTTTTCTCATTTTGTCTCTCATAGTTGAGGTCTACCTATGATGACAATTACAGGCCTCTCTCATCTTTTTAAGTGGGAGAACTTGCACAATTGGTGGCTGACTAAATACTTTTTTGCCCCACTGTATAATGCATCTCACTAAGAATTCAGGAAGCAGTTCATCACTCTTCTAATTTAAAAGCACGAGGGTCTCTGAATTCCAGTGTGGTCCCCCATGGCCCTTCCTGTATTGGGAGACTCTGCTGGGGGATGCTGGGAGCTGTAGCTCAGCAACATATGGGGAGAACAGGTTTCACTTCCCTGCTACAGAAGGAGGATGCAAATCATATGACTACCCCAAAGTAAGAATTGGATATTTTTTTATTTATTCAATCATGTATGATTATTCTATGGGAGTGGCAAGAATAAAAAGGCATAGAGGTAGTCCAAAGGAAGTTTGTAAGTCATGGTGGTAATCATGTGATCAATCTGATTTTATGACCTGCAGTTGTTAAATGAACAGCACTTATCTGAACGCTTAATATCCTCCATTAGTTTAAAGTCTCCATGGAGGTTTTCTTGACAATGTTTGTTTGTTATGCCATCTTTCATTGTAGGTAAGGTGGCCGATCTAGCACTCCAATCTTGCATCAGTAACAGCAATGTAAAATATCCCAAAGATGCTTTTTCATGAAGCAACTGGACTTTCTTGTTTTTCCTGTGAAGATATTTTGCTTCGAATCCAAGGAAGTCCAGTTGCCTCTTGAAAAAAAATATTTGGGACAACTATGACTTGGATGGCTGAGAATCTCCCTAGACATTTAGTCATGTAAAATGGGGGGGGGGGTTGCCCAAAACCGGAAGTAAATGCCAGTTTTCAGAAAAAATATTGTAAATCACAGTCCTCACAGTCATCACAAGATATTGCAAAATGTCCATAAATGCAGGCTGGTTGTTGAGAGCCCAAAATGCAATTACGTGATCAATGGCCTGACCATTGAAACTTCAGAATCAATTCTTCAGTTACCTTGGGGCAGGCTTGCAGTGTAACTTCAAATGGTCACTAAGCGGCCAATTGTAAGTGAAGGCTCCTTCTGTGGGTCCTTGTAAAGACCCACCTCAGCTAACCACCCAAGAAAGCAGAACTCTTGAAACAGGCATTGTCTCAAAAGGAAACTTTTATTAGGGATTAGTGACAGTATAGGGAAGTCAAAGTGAGATCTGGGGAAAATCCCTCTTAAATGGTATAGTTAAACCAGCAATATTCTTCCTCCCACCAGAGTCATAATGCCCATCTGAAATCCAGCCAATCCACAGGTGGCACAGTTGGCGGCATCTCAACGTCTTCTCCAGTTTCATTTCTCTGTAACCGTCTCCCTGATAACCGTCTCCTTTCTCAAGGGGATAGAGGCAGGAGAAGAAGAGTAGAAAATGAAAGTTACCCCAAGTGAAAGTAAATATCCCCCCCCCCCAGCAAAATGGCAGGCCCCAAAACAAGAGCACAAGAGTATATATGCAAGGAAAACAATAAGGATTTGGGGACCTGACATCACTTCAAAGTTTCTGCTTACTAGCTGGAGTTCAGAGAAAAAGATTACTGGAGACAATCTCAGGCTGTAACAAAAATGTGCACGGGGACAATTCCTTCAGATACCCTGGTCCCAATTCATAAATGGATCTAAAAGATACAAGGCTATGTCTGTGTTCACCAAATCAGGATTTTTAATCATGTTTCTTTGGCAAGTCATGTTCTCCTCTGTGACATGGCCCACAGTTAGGCTAGCTGGGTTTACAGGGTGGGTGAAAAATAAAATGGAACTATATGCAATGCAAATTAAATTAGTGCAATTTTCCAATGTGTAAACCAGGACAATATGGTTTATGCATCAAAGACATGACTAAAATATGCTGGTTTAATGTTATGTATGAACACAGCAACAACCGTGCTTGATTTTTCAGGGCCCTTCATGGTAAAGCATTGGCAGGAGGTATTCACATATCCCACTCTGAATTAAATGAAGTTTACAGATTGCCTTTGGCACCAATCCCATATAAATGCATTGTAGCAGTCTAAATAGTCAGTTATTACATCATGGATAACTGGAGCAAAACTAAAGCAGGGCCATCAGCTGGCTTACAATTTTTCTCACTTCATAAGCTGTGAAAGTCCATGCCAACTTCTACTCTAAGTACAATTCAGGTCTCTCAATTCTGCCTTTTGTTACACTGAATTTCCAATTCACAAAAAGATTGGAAAATGGAACAGCTCCTATGAAATATCAGTCAAGGTTGAATAATGGTTCCCAGCTTCCATAAAAATATTTAGGCAGGAAAGCTAAAATCCAGAAAAGTTACTTGCAGACAGACTCTGCTTACATTAGAAGCACTTATCTGAAGACTTAATATCCCCCATTAGTTTGAAGTCTCCTTTGAATCAAGCTCCTGGTGACTTCATGGAGGTTTTCTTGACAATGTTTGTTTGTTCATGCCATCTTTCATTCTGTGTAAAGTGGTCTACATAGCACCCCAATCTTCAGCTTTTATCAATAACAGCCATGTAAAACAGGTCGTGCTTGTGATACAGTGATTGGCTCAAAGCCACCAGTCTTAGTTGAACACCTTAATCTCTACACTATAATGGTTCTTCGAAAATGGTTGCAACTATCTTCTTCTTGGATGTATTTTGACTTTCCAATTTAGCCTAGGCTTGCATCTTTGATGGTTTCTTAACAAAATATGGGTCATGCTTGACCCACGATCATGCTTAGTTTCTGAGCCCAGTAAAATCAGCCATGTATTGCCACTTGCTGGTGCATATCTCACTTCACTTTTCCAATAAAAAGAATAATATTAAGGCCGAATATTAAAAGAACAGTAACCAACATTTATAAGAAAAAAAAAATACCAAATAATCACAAAAGCCAGAACTGGTCATAAATAGACAAAATAAACAAAAACCAAGAGAAATGTCAAAAAGAAATGTCCTCCGCTGTTAATGAAATTCAAATAAACTCAAATAAAATATACCTTCCCACAGAGAATTGCACATTTCAGGAAATGCCATCAAGAAAACTACCAAATGTGTCTTTGGGAACAACAATGTATGCAAAACAAGCACAGTTGCTGACCCGTGATACATTCTGACTGTCAGCCTTACAAAGTACACCACCAGGAAACATGACCAGATGAGTTAATTCTACTTTATTGTAAGGTTAGATTAAGAGAATCTTGCAAGTCTGCAAGTCTCTCTTCTCTTTCCCTCTATCGCACAAAAACTAGAAAGGGTCACTTCTGAGCCTCTTGCCCCTTCCACATTCCTGCTTAGGGCTAAGTTACCTTTTATCTGACTGTTCCCTTGGCCGTATCTTGTTGCCTTGTCTCCAAAGATCATTCCCATACAGCAATAGCAATAACATTTAGACTTATATATTTTCTGAGCAGTTTACAATGCCAGCATATTGCCCCCAACAATCTGAGTGCTCATTTTACTGACTTCAGAAAGATGAAGGCTGAGTCAATCTTGAGCCCCATCAGGTTCAAACTCCAGGCTGTGGGCAGAGTTAGCTGCAATACTTCATTTTAACCCCTGCACCACTAGGACTCCTCTTATACCATTACACTTACTGTTCCTGACATAGCATGATAAAGCTCCCTTTGTAACATAGTGTTACACAGTGCCTTCTTTGTTATCAGTTTAAACTGCCTTAAGATTCAGGCTTACCATGAGGAAGATCAGAGGTCAGATGGGGAAGAAGATAGCTTCGGATCAACTCCCACTCAAAGTCATCTTCAGCACCTTGGCTATATTCACACTGATTTAGATCCCCGTCTTCTTCAAATGTGCAGCCAGCTATGAAAGAGATTCAGAGACACGTCAAGATGAAGAACAGCATCTGAGAAATGTACAGAAAATGCATCGTAACAGACAGAGTACAGGAAAATGACAAAGCATGTGTAAATTATAGATATTTCTGCAAAGCACATATAAATTGTAGATATTTCTGTAAGGACCCACCCCACTTTGCATCTTAAGAAGACAGAACTCTTGGAATAATTCTTCCAACAGGCATCCTTTATTAAGAGAAAATGGTTGCAGGCATTCTAGACAGGACTTGGGGTCCAAGCTCTCCCATTCAAGGTTTTAAGGGGTTCCCCAGTAGCCCCACTCAATCACCCCCTACTTCCAGCGACAGTCTCAGGCATTACACTCCCACCCCCTTTTCCTTACTGCCGGCTGGATGGAGACTTCAGAGAAAACTACATGAAAGGTAATAGCCCCATTGTTATGGTTAGTCCTTTTGGTGATACACACATCCAGTTCCTCTGAAGTGTACCGAAGGAAGTGAGGGCCATAAAGCCCCTTTGTTCACCCCCTTCCCTTCATCGTATGACAGAATCCATAGAAGGCAGAAATGGGGTTTTTTATAATTGATAACTAGAGATGAAATATAATTGGATTCTGACAATTTCTGCAGCTGAAATTTCTTTTTCACACTTTCGAAGAACCATTGCATTTAGCAAGGAGGATTTAAGTTTTTGATAATTTTTGATAATCTTCCCAAAAGATATTCAAAGAGTCCATCTACAATCTCCAAGTTATTGATTCACAGTTAACAGTGATTTAACAATCAGGAAGTTGTAAAATTTCAGAACATGTAAAGAATTTCACTAAATATTAGGAAATTTTCCTGATGGAATTACCTTTAGCAGCAGAATAAACTAATCTGAAAAAATACACACTCACCTTCCTAAGATACTTATGGCTGGATAGTCATCTTTGAAGCTATTATAATAATGGGTTTACAGCATTTGAGAGAAATTTAGCAGATGGCAATACCTGCTAAATACATAAATACATAAAGTCTTTTATTTCAATGTAAGGTATTGTAGAATATTTCCGGTAGATCTTATTTGCCTTCTAGAAGTTCTCTGGATTTTTCTATTATCTATTGGATGGGGGGGGGCGGCAAATTCTTTGGGTCCACATACAATATATCCTTTTCAAAGCTGTTACTAGATTATTTCTTCTTACTTTTGTTATTTAGATTACCATCATTTAGAATCAGATTAATACTTTTCTTATTAACTAGGTGCTTCAAATGTAGAGTCAATAATAGGACAGTTTTATTAATTTGCTAAGCCTGCACAACGGGCTTTTGAAAGCTACTATTTTGTTTGACTAAATGTATTTAAATATTTTCTACTGATGGTTACTATTTTGCTCATGCCTCTCACCAACCATTGCTAAAGGTTGGCCTAAAAACAATAAACTTGAAAAATGAATAGTAAAGTAAGTTGGACCCAAATATCCTAAGAAGATATATTTGAGACTTGACAGAGAAAACATCCTGCCACTTCCCAAGCTGCATTAATTTATAATTAAGTTCTTCCAGAGTGGAAAACAAATGTTATATGTAATTCATCCTAGATAAGAATCCAATCATGGGGAAATATTATCAGAGTTTGCATTTAACATTAAAGCACAATTCTAAAAAGGAAGATGCAGGAACCTTTTGCCAGTAAAAATGGATGAGAAGTATTGAATGCTCATAAAATATCTCCTCTTACCTCCCTCAGCAGAATCAACATGGAGGAAAAAAAGAATACAGGCAGTCCTCAACTTACGACCACAATGGAGCCCCCAGTTTATGCTGTTAAGTTAGATCATTGTTAAGTGAGTTTTGCCTCATTTTACAACCTTTCTTGCAAAAGTTGTTAAGTGAATCACTGCAACTGTTAAGTTAGCAACATGGTTCTTAAATGAATCTGATTTCCCCACTCATCAGAAGGGCACAAAAGGTGATTAAAAGACCCCATCTGAATTTTGATCATGTGACCATGGGGATGCTGCAACTGTTGTAAGCAGGAAAATCAGTCATAAGTCATTTTTTCCAGTGGTATTGTAACTTTGAATGACCACTAAATGAACTGTTATAAATCGAGGATGACCTGTATGCAGATATTGCAGATATTATACAATTGGGATGAGGCACTGCATTGCAACATCCTCTACATCAGGGATCTCTATTCCCCGGTCCATGGACCGGTACTGGGCTGCAGCATGCCAGCAACCGGTCCGGACAAACAAGCAAAGCCCCATCAGCGGGATGCAGGCAGCACAGAAAACCACACCCTCTCCGGTCCACGGAAAAACCACATAACTGGTCCCTAGTGCCCAAAAGGTTGGGGACCTCTGCTCTAGATATAGAGAGATCTTACATTTGTTTGCCAGATATGAGAAACTAAGCTACCTCATTTACCACTGGACCTCTAAGTATAGTGTTTAAATTTTCCTCTACAAAAAGGTTTCATTGATTACAGTAAAGGGATATAAAGACGTTTGCACCTACTTTTTTAAAAAGCTGCCAAAAGAACAGGGCAGTTGAAAAGCTGAAAGGATAGATAGAAGAAACAAGCTAACTATAGAGTGAAAATCAAAAGGACAGTCCATCCCTCATGGAACATCTTTCCTCTTTCCTTAATATTTGCTTTAGAAGACTCTTGGATTTTTTTCTCCATGTAATATTCAAGAGTATGATTATCCATTATCCCTGAACAAAACTGCCTGTCCTGCTTCAAGTCAGATTTTCACCAAAGCTAGTCATGAGTTTCAGATTTGTGAAGCTGATCATAATTTGAGGAGGGATTTACAGTAGCAATAGCATCAGCAATAGCACTTAGACTTATATACCACTTCATACTGCTTTACAGCCCTCTCTAAGCAGTTTACAGAGTCAGCATATTGCCCCCAACTATCTGGGTCCTCATTTTACTGACCTCAGAAGGATGGAAGGCTGAGTCAACCTTGAGCCCATCAGAACTGAATTCCAGATTGTGGGCAGAGTTAGCCTGCGATACAGGTAGTCCTTGACTTATAACATTAGTGATCGTTCAAAGTTACAATGGCATCGGGAAAAAGTGACTTATGGCCATTTTTCACATTGACAATCATTGCACAGCATCCTCCATGGTCACGTGATCAAAATTCAGATGATTGGCCACTGGTTCATACTGATGACTGTTGCATGATCCTGGGGTCGTGTGATCCCCTTCTGCAACCTTCTGACAATTAAAGTCAATGGGGAATCCAGATTCACTTAATGACCATGTTACTAATTTAATAACTGCAATAATTCACTTAACAACTGCAGCAAGAGAAGTCGTAAAATGGGGCAAAACTTACTCAACAAATGTTTTACTTAGTAACATAGATTGTGGCCTCAATTGTGATTGTAACTCAAGGATTACCTATCCAGAGGTCCCCAACCTTGGCAACTTTAAAATTTGTGGACTTCAATTCCCAGAATTCCTCAGCCAGCCAGCCTGGCTGAGGAATTCTGGGAGTTGAAGTCCACAAGTCTTAAAGTTGCCAAGATTGGAGACCCCTGATCTATACTACATTCTAACCATTGTGTCCCCAGGGCTCTCTTACATTTAACTGGTGCTTGGAATTTTTTAGAAAGGCTATAATAATTCCTAAACTAGAACATTTTCCTTAGAGAACAGAGAAGCACTCTGAGTAATCTTGATACGGAGAGCCCAAGAACAGAAGAAATGAAGTGACTTGTGTACACCAAGCAACATGCTACTAGAAAAATTCTTTACACAGGGATCCCAATAGAGTAGTTCTTGACTTACAACCATTCATTTACCAAGTATTCAAAGTTACAACAGCATGGGAAATAGTTATTTACAACCTGTCCTCACACTTACGACCATTATAGCATCTCCACAGTCCCCTGATCAAAAATTGGGCATTTGGAACCAGCATCTATTTACAGTAGTTGTCTTAGGGTCACGTTTTGGCAACCTCCCCAGCCAGTTTCCAATAAGCAAAGCCAATGTGGGAAGCCAGATTCATTTACCAACTGTGACAACCCCATCTTGCTTAGCAATGGACACTGTGGTCATAAGTCAAGGACTACTTGTCATGTCAAAAGGTATGCACAAGTCAATTCGTAGATATCTGCCTATAAAGCAAGGACATCAAAGTCGGTCCAAAATTAGGACCTGAATTAACAGGTATTGCCCAACCTGCTTGCATCTTGGATATCTGTGATTTTATCCAAGTAAGACAGGAGAACAAGGAATTAACAGTGGCAGCCAAAAACATCAATGCATTTCTTCTGAGATGTATGCAAGACTAATGACAAATAGCAGCAAGTATCCAGGTTTCAAGCTTTTGCCATTTCAAATATGGGAGTGATTTAAAAGAAATAATCCCTTCCAATTTTTTTTCTAAATGCAACATAAATGCAAAATGCATGGAAAATGAGGCTTCCTATCAAGAACGATGAAAGGAAGAGCAAAGCAAGAAGAAGAAGAAGAAGAAGAAGAAGAAGAAGAAGAAGAAGAAGAAGAAGAAGAAGAAGAAGAAGAAGAAGAAGAAGAAGAAGAAGAAGAAGAAGAAGAAGAAGAAGAAGAAGAAGAAGAAGAAGAAGAAGAGACAGTATGGAAATTCCATAAGCTCATGAACCATCAATCCCCAATGGAAATGATAAAGAATGTCTCATGGTTGTGATCTTTAATAGGAGATGGCCACTGATGGCAATGAAAAGTTCGAAAGAACAACTGACCTTAAGTAGCGAACTAGCAAAGATTCAACAAAATGAAATGGAGGAATATTCTAATCCTGACATTTAGAGCCAAATTTTAAAAAAGCCACTGCAATTGTTTCAGAATGAATGTAAAACCAACAGATAAACAAATCCTTTCTCTTGGGTATTAACCCTGAATCAAAAAAAAAAAAAAAAAAAAAGTCCAGAACGGCCACCACAAATGTGTTTAATTCATGTTTCCTTTTTATCTTGAAATTAACAGTATCATTCAACTGCATCACCTACCATGAAT